CATGGCAACACTATTCATCGAAATCCAAAACTGATAGAAAGAATTATGTATCTTAGTGTAGTCTACTTGTGTGCAAAGTTATACTGAAATCTGTCCAGAACTGTAGGAGGAATAGCGTTTGAAAGTATTTCACAGAAATTTCTATTTTTAGTAATCATGGCAACACCGTCCATTGAAATCAATAACCAATATACAGAATTATGTATCTTAGTAAAGTCTTCTTGTGTGCCAAGTTATACTGAAATCTGACCAAAACTGTAGGAGGAGTAGCGTTTGAAAGTATTTCAAGGAAAATTCTATTTTTAGTAATCATGGCAACACCGTCTATTGAAATCAATAACCAATACACAGAATTATGTATCTTAGTATAGTCTTCTTGTTTGCCAAGTTATATTGAAATCAGATGAAAACTGTCGGAGGAGTAGCGTTTTGAAAGTTTTTCAAAGAAATTTCTATTTTTAATAAGCATGGCAACACTGTTCATTTAAATCAAAAACCGAAATACAAAATTATGTATCTTAGTATGGTCTATTTTTAGTAACCATGGCAACACCGTTCAATGAAATCAAAGACCGATACACAGAATTATGTATCTTAGTATGGTCTACTTGTGTGCCAAGTTATATTGAAATCTGATCAAAACTGTAGGAGGAGTAGCGTTTTGAAAGTATTTCACAGAAATTTCTATTTTTAGTAACCATGGCAACACCGTTCAATGAAATCAAAAACCGATACACAGAATTATGTATCTTAGTATTGTCTACTTGTGTGCCAAGTTATATTGAAATCTGATCAAAACTGTAGGAGGAGTAGCGTTTTGAAAGTATTTCACAGAAATTTCTATTTTTAGTAACCATGGCAACACCGTTCAATGAAATCAAAAACCGATACACAGAATTATGTATCTTAGTATGGTCTACTTGTTTGCCAAGTTATATTGAAATCTGATCAAAACTGTAGGAGGAGTAGCTTTTTGAAAGTATTTCACAGAAATTTCTATTTTTAGTAACCATGGCAATACCGTTCAATGAAATCAAAAACCGATATACAGAATTATGTATCTTAGTATTGTCTACTTGTGTGCCAAGTTATATTGAAATCAGATCAAAACTGTAGGAGGAGTAGCGTTTTGAAAGTTTTTCACAGAAATTTCTATTTTTAGTAACCATGGCAACACCGTTCAATGAAATCAAAGACCGATACACAGAATTATGTATCTTAGTATGGTCTACTTGTGTGCCAAGTTATATTGAAATCAGATCAAAACTGTAGGAGGAGTAGCGTTTTGAAAGTATTTCACAGAAATTTCTATTTTTAGTAACCATGGCAACACCGTTCAATGAAATCAAAAACCGATATACAGAATTATGTATCTTAGTACTGTCTACTTGTGTGCCAAGTTATATTGAAATCAGATCAAAACTGTAGGAGGAGTAGTGTTTTAAAGTTTTTCACAGATATTTCTATTTTTTAGTAACTATGGCAACAACTGATATACAGAATTATGTATTTTAGTATGGTCTACTTGTGTTCCAAGTTATATTGAAATCGGATCAAAACTGTAGGAGGAGTAGCGTTTTGAAAAATTGTTTACAGACGGACAGACAGACAGACAGACAGACAGACAGACAGACAGACAGACGGACGGACGACGGACACCTTAGTATCGCATAAGCTTTTCTGGTCCCTGACTAGTAGAGCTAAAAAGAAAGATAAATATCATTTAACTTCGAAGCAGTTCCTCGGTTTTGGTAAGTCATAAGTAGGATATACAGGAAGCTTGAAAATGAATAGGTAATAAATATTTACAAACAAATTACAATTGTCCATTTACTGCAAAATCAACACTTTTTCTGAAAACTAGTAGTTTTATTTGAAAGAAAAACACGTTTAATACGCTTTCAGTTGAATTGTGAATTAGTGAAATATCTGTAACCATTTCATTTGTAGACTTGATAGTTTGAATAGCATGGATAAAGTGGGAGAGCCTTGGTGTCAATCGAAGAAAGAAATCTTCGTGTCAACACCAGCTATGAGACGACGCACTGGCTATAAGACGAAGCTCACTATAAGGCTAAGCTGACAACAGATAACATCTATGTTGAATTTTTTCCGGATTTTTAAACACGCAGTGCTAAACATTCATTAGTTTAACAAAAAGATAAATTATATAAGTAATCTGGAGAAGTATTTATTTATTAGAACATTGAAAGACTTGTATAATCATTCAAGTTTTTGATTATATTTGAAGAAACAAATTATAGTCACTTCATCGCCATACAATACTTTGATGTGTTGACCAAGCTTATCTAGTGACGTATATTTCGTGTTCCAAAAGTAAAAAAAAATTAAGTTTAACTGAATTTGTAATGACAATTTTATTCAGTATATACAAATAATATAATACAAAGGGCAAACAATGAAGTTGGAAACAAACCACATTTTACACGATTCAAGCCGAAGAAAATTGAAGTCCTATAGGAGTCAAAATGTTTTGAAGAGAATTTAAGAAGCAGAAAAAATATATGTCATACTACTAATTATTTAGTCTTTAAATAGAAATATGTATATTGCAATTCTGTTTGTTTCAATTTAGACACATTCTAAAAATGCTTGAAAAATATACATGTAGACATGGATGTCCTTCTGTTTTTCTTTTAAAAGATAGAATATATATATATATATATATATATATATATATATATATATATATATATATATATATATATATATATATATATATATATATATATATATAAAATTTTACATTAAAACTGATACATTACACAAACGTGGCTCATAACTCTCCAATGTATATAAGTGATAGTAAATAAAAATAATATCTTTGGTCTTCAATAGCTAAGAATGTTAACAATCGATCGCTCAATAAATGTTAACAGAAGATCAATAAAACATTCATTAAGCAGGCAAAACACTGTGTCAGAATTCAAAAGGTGAACTTATAAATACTATACAAAAGTTTCAAAAAAGTTCTTACATCTTATGAGGTGCTCACTTTTAATGGTAACAACTTATTTATTTTCCATAGATAAACAAATAGAGAAGCAGTTCTGTTTTAATACATATATTCAGTGTATGCTTGAAATCAGAGGCCTTTATATCGCATTAATCCGCCTGACAAAACTGTGGGTATAAAAAATAATTTTGTAGAGTTTCTCAGATAGGATACCCAGTTTCGCAAATGAGATACTGATAAATCAAATGATCTAAACTTATACTTTCTGTTCTTTTCTCTTCGTATATGAACAATTTAAAATTTCTTCTAATTAATTCCAAAATTCCGTATACGTTTCACCATATGCTTAAATCAATTAAAACTTTTAAATCAATTAAAACTTTTTTTATTTATTAGAAACTAGCTTAAGCCTCTGACCATTTACACTAATTTTAAAGAGGGAATTTCTAGAATGATTTTTCAGGAATTTATTCGCTACTGTCTAAACACTCCTAGCACTCAGCCCCTTCAAAACTATCATATTTGATCATATGGTCTTACCAAGTTACCAACAACATTATTTCAAAACGCTAAAAAGGTATATAAATAAATACACTCCCGGAAAAAAATCGTTTATTGCTTTTTTTTTTTTTTTTTTTTTTTTTTTTTTACATTACCGGTAGTTAACAACATGGCTGAGTAGTAGAGTTCCTTTAATGTTTTTACTCGAAAAAATTGGAAGAGATTTAAACTTATGACCTGGGATTAAAAAAATCAACATAGAAATGTTGATAGAATATGCACATACTATGCAATTTTCACTGCATTTTAAATGGTATCTGTATATACATGTGAAGACCCAAGCTAATTTCGATTAAAGAAAAATAGTTCAATTTGAAATTCATTTTAGGATTTGGGAATAATACGGAATTTTGGAATGAACTTTGCTAGAAATGTAGATTGTTTATACATGAATAGTTATGAAAAGAAAGCTTTAGTTTTATTTTAAATCATTTATCATTATTTCATTTGCGAAAGTGGATACCCTATCCGAGAAATTCCATTCCTTTATTTTTTGTTATACCCACAGATTTCCCAGTCGATATAAAGCGATTTATAGGTCTGTGCTTGAAATGTCTTATTTGAAGTCTTAGAGAACTAAATAATTTCTCTCTAACATTATATTTGTTGCAAACAAAGAACAAATGACACCAGTCTTCTTGGATGCTGCATGAACAATTGAGACTCTCAACAATATTTCTTCTAAAAAGGTCATTATTCAAAATACAGTCTGTTACAGCTTGTTTGTCGTCGGTGTCCGTGACAAAGTGTCTATAGTCACACAAATAATAAAAGGGAATGTCGTATGTTCAGCGCCATATTATGTCAATATTTAGAATCAACATGCTAAATAAAAGTAAAATTCAATGCGGCTACTGGCCAAGTGGTGTTGAACATGTACTAGGATATGAGGGCTGTTCAGGAATTATTGAGACATTTCATGTAACCCCATAAAAAAAGAGATAAAATCGAGCAAATTCGCCAACATTTTGTCAAGAAAAAATAAAACAAAGCTATAAAAATTCTAGTTAAAAGCGCCGATAGATAAGCCCCGCTGAAATTATAAACTTATATGTCCATTGATCTGGAGCAGTCAGCAGAGATTATCGCTACGTCATTTTAAAGATTTGAAAAGGCTTAACTCTTCTTTATTTTCTGTCATCTCTTGATAACATTCTAGAAATCAAACTCCTAAGTGCTTCACAAAATTTAACTGAAAATTGAAAAAAAAAAAAAACATATATATTTCTGATTTTTTTTTCATTGTATGTGCTTTAAACGTACATGTGTATGTTAATTGTCATCAAAAGACATTCATTAGAAAAGAAAATACACAAAGTGTCTCAATAATTTCCGAACAACCTTCGTATTAAGAATTCATAAATTAAAGAACCCAACATTTTTCACATTAATACATATATGTATATAAATATCCAAAGTGTAATATAGATATTAATCATTATGGTTTTACAATAACTCTTAGTAAATTATCAATATTTATTTTACTCGACTTATAAATATATACATCATAACAACAATGAATATACAATGTGAAAAGTATAATTTGTTTTACAAAAGAGGAAATGTGTAGCAACCGCTAATGATAAAACGCCGCTTAACGCCATGAATTATTGCATTAATAGTTGACATTCTCAACTGCTAATGCTATTTCCCCGCTTAATAGATGAATTGAATCATTAAGCGGTTGAGGATGTCAACTATTGAATAATGTAACAAGTTATTACATTGAGCGTTGCATTGCAACGCATAATGATATTTCTATCATTAAGCGGTGTTTTATCATTAGCGGTTGCTACAATGCTGAGAAATAATATATACACCTATATATTTCATAATAACAATGTTAAGATGCAATACGAGTATGAGTTCTGAGTCTTGCTTCATTGCTGCCGGTGCCTTTCATCTTTATAATCATTAATAAGCTAATGGTACAAATATTGTTCCTTATGGTACAAATATTCTGTTACCTATTTGCTTCAAATCACAGAAATCTCCAAGTGGACTCGTTTTGTAATAAGTAGCAGAAATACATTTGTATAAGAATGAGTAGGTTGAAATGTTTACGAATATTATTACTTAACAGTAAAGTGTGTAGGGAATAGTAAATTCATTTAAAACCATGTTTCAATACATTCCACATTAAATATTTAAGGTAAAGGTGATTTATTGTTTCTATGTACATCCTGTTTTTTGGAAGGTACACGGTGGCGAATTTACTTTTATTTTTAAAATCATTCTTCTATTAGGAAGCTCATATTGCAACCACTCTAGCTTTGTATGCCATGTTATCTTTTAAGTAATAGCTAATAATTAAAGAAACTATATATTTTATATTATGCCAAAGATTATTAGACGGTAATTGTAAAGGCATTTCATAAACAGACTTAAAATAAATACTTATTGATACATTTAACAGTTATTTTCTATTTGATATCCATATTCAATCCCTTGTCAGACATGTTATAGTACACTGTTAACATGTATGATCCTTAGTAGATGGGACTCAGCAGAAAGAAATATAGTGAGCATTCCACGACTGAGATCAACTAAATGTAGATGATCTTCATAACTCAGCTTTCGGTCTTTTCTCTGTCGATAGGAACAGATAAGAATCTACAATTAGCCTCCTCACACGTCTCTCTACGTAGACCATCGGAATTCATCGAAGACCATCGAACGCCATCGGAGTCACAAGGACTCGAGTCCGTAAAGGACCGGGACACACAGTCATTGTTGTTTTTGCCCTTGGGGAGGAGTCGACTAACGTTAGAACAGTCCGTGGATCTCTCCCTGTCGATGAAGGAGGACACGGTGTGAGAATTGCGGGAACTCTTTCTCCACGTGGTCAGGAACGCCGATCTTGAATACGCATAACTTTCCTTCCGCCGTAGAGCGTATTTGTACCACGCCTTCCGGATTTCTTGCAACACCTAGAAAACACATAAACCAATGGCTGAACTAAACTAGGTACTTGCCACAGTTTCATGTTTGTCGCCCTTTCAAATACGGTAACCATCTCTGTAAGCTGATGAACGATATCATATACATGTATTATGGACCGTATTAAAAAAAAACCACATGTCTTGAATTAAATCTACTAAACACGTATATAAATAAATGAAATATTTATTAACACACTAACTTTGCTTATGACTTCAAAGAAACTTCTAAACATAAATTATATTTTTTGTAAACCTGATATTAGAGTGTGAATAATAAAGTGGAAAGCGTATTTTTCCAGGTTACTAAAATGTAGTTCAAAGACTAAACATGTCGGAATTCACTTTATAGTGTGTGTGCAAAAGCATAGCATTTCAAGAAATGAAATATATGGAGATAACGAACAGTATTCAAGCTCAAAAGTCCATTATACAATACAAAATAGGAGCAGAGCAAACACGGACCTCCAAACATCAGAGGTGGGATCAGGTGCCATGGAGGAGTGAGCATCCCCTGCCGACCGGTCACACCCGTCGTGTGCTCCTTGTCATGATCGGGAAATAACGGAAAAATCCGTCGACAATTCAGTGTGTAAATAATGGCCTAACAATTATTATGAAAAACGACAGTCAGCATTTGACTCAATGATAAATTGTATTTGCTGACAAGGTCATTGTATCGACCAAAGAACTTACGAAATGATGACTTTAAACGAGACAGCTGATATTCTTGTTTCATCAACTTATTTGTCAATAATTTACCTCGTTTTAGAAATTGTACATACGTAGAGCATGCTCTTGCGTATCGAATCAACTGAGAGATATATACCCCGTATGCAGGTGATGAAGGTATATTGCTGCATAAGTAAGGGAAGTCGACGATTGAAAAGTTAAAGTCATCACGTTTATCATAAAGCTTGGTTGTTAACGTCTTTTTCAAGTAAAATATCCAAATATGAAACAGATGTGTCAGACTCTGTGGTATCTTTTATCTCAAGTTCACCAGGATATATCGTATCGACATAAGAATGGAAATAGCCATTGTTAATTGACAATACGTCGTCGATATATCTAAATGTCGAGTTGAACGCCATAGCAAGTGTTTTCTTCTTTTCACGTACAAGATTTTGGACAAATTCTGCTTCATATGAATACAAAAAAGGTCTGCTAATAACGGGGCGCAATTGGTACCCATAGAAATTCCAATAGATTGTTGGAAGACCTGGTCTCCAAAAACCACATAGATATTGTCAATCAGAAACTCAAGCATCTTTTTAATGTCAACTTCAGAGTACTTGTGTGTACAATCAGAATGTTTTTTAACAAAATAATTTTGCAAATGACCAATAACAAGGTAAGTATATTTACGAGTTCCATTTTTACTGAAAAAGCAGCTGTCAATGATATCAAAAAGCCTGGACTTTAATTTATCGTGGGGAATGGTTGTGTATAAAGGTGAAAAGTCGTAAGTTTTTAAGCTGTTGATTTTGGTAAAATCTCGTGATTTCAAATTTTCCAAAAGTTCCTTGGAATTTTTACATGTAAGTATCCACATCTGATTTACACCACTTCTCGAATATATTGTTGCACAGTACTCTTGAAGTTTCTCCTTCACCACTGTTAACACTTAGTGAGGAGTAAAGATAGAGGCAGCAAGGAAACCTAATTATATGTGTATTTCTAAAAGTCTTTTTAAGCTTTTGCATAAAATATTTCTGATTAGATTTGAAGAAAATCTTAAGATCGTGGTTTTATGATTAAAAAGAAAACATCATTTGCTATATTTTCAAAATATCACATAATTTCAGGGATTACTATCATAACAAAGTACTCACATGCGATAGAAGTGTTCATAAAAACTCTTATTTGTATGAACAATTAAAATATCTTCGTACATCTTATTAATGATTTATTCATTTTCACATTAAGAATAAACCAAGCATTGCTGAAAAAAAACAAGATATGTTTGGGAAACACTGATGCCCTCGTATGGCAACTTTTAGCGAAGGTTAAACTTTCTCAAATGCAAATCATATATGTTGGTATCCAAAATAAGGTCTTGTCTCAAAGAATGTACCTCTGAAATATGAAAGTCCTAGCAGCAACCATTGAATAGATATGGAAAAGGTTAAAATTTTTCAAAAGTAAGTCAAACATCAAGGTCAAGGTCAAATGGTCAAAATTAATGGTGCTCAAGGAAAGGCCTTCTCACAAAAAAGACACGTGAAATATGAAAGCCCTAGCACCCGCCCATCAAAAGATTTGGCCAAAGTTAAAGTTTTCCAAAAGTGGATCAAACTCCAATCAAAATTGTTGGTGTCCATAGGAAGGTTTTGTCACAAGAATTACATATGTGAGGTATGAACGTCTACCACCAACAGTTCAAAAGTTATGGCCAAGGTTAAAGACTTTCAAAAGTAGGTCAAACTCCTAGCTCAAGGTCAAAGAGTCAAATGTTGTTGATATCTAAAGAAAGGTCACATCAATGTCAAGTATGAAAGCCCTACCACCAACTGTTCAAAAGTTATGGCCAAGGTTAAAAAGTTGGGTAAAATTTTCCAAAACTGGGTAAATCTCCAAGGTCAAGATCAAAATGTCAAATATGATGGTACCCAACGAAAGCTTTTGTCACAAGGAATACACATGTGAAATATAAAAGCCATAGCTCCAACTAATCAAAAGTTATTGGCAATGTTAAAGTTTTTGCAGACAGACAGACAGACGGACGGACAGGGCAAAAGCTATATGCCCCGAATCTTCGATTACGGGGGCATAAAAACTAGTACACAAAAACTGGAAGGAGTTATTGAATTAAGAGCTGTAAGAGCTAGAAAAGGGGTACTGTTTCTTTATATATTATAGAGTAGATAATCTTTGCTTAAAAACAAATCTACAAATTAAAAGAAATGTCAATGACTTTGACTATATATTGTAAAACTAGCAAAATTAAACGTCTACATGAGTTACAGTCTGTACACTAACTATTTATAATTCTACGTCATTTTCATTACTAAAATGTATATTATACACTTGAAAATAGGAAACTATCAGTCCATGCTACATTTCATCCAGGAACCGTGTACTTAATTTAAGGAACAGATTATTTATACAAAAGAAAAAAAAATTGAATGACTAAAGAGCAGAGACAAATACAGGATTTAATTTAAAGATATTCGTATATACCAAAGAATCTGTGAATCACCAAAAAATTCCATTGGTCGCATAAAATAAACATGAACATGTTTATTCTTTAGAGAAATAAACCATATACATATGCTATACTGTGAACAACAAAATTCATATAGAAATATCAGATATTGAAAATAGCAAAATACTATATTCAGAAAAAAACTAAGGGGGGGGGGGGGGGAGGGCGGGCCCACCCTCGTTCTACGGGCATGCTATATTTTTGTTAGTAGCAAGGTCCTTAAATGTACACAAATAAAGAACTATTCATACACAAACTTTACTTATGACTTCAAAGTTTTAAGTCAATTTCCAACTGTACTTTTTCGTGTGGAAAATCTGGCATTAGGTAGTGAAAAATGTGCAAGGACGTCATAATTTTTCTAGGTTACCAAGATAAACATGGTGAATTACTAAAATAAATGAAGTTTATGAAATACTGAGCTTTCAACAGGATAAAAACGATTTAATTCAACACTAACAATTAGTTTAACATGTCTTATTTAGGAATGTGTGCATTAGCATAGAATATCATGTGTGCAGGGAATCATGCTATTCTATGCTAATGCATACAGTCTGTGTATCATTTCGGTATGTATTGTAATGTTTTTAAAAGTCTTTAAAATCTTTCACATCAAAATATCTAAATGAAGTTTAGGTTAGAGAAAATCTAAATGATTTTGATTCTTTATTAAAGAAATCCCAAAGACAGCAGAAAATAAAGGAAAAAGTCTAATAACTTAAACTTAAAAGTTAACATAACATATAATATTAACGATATCAACATACCTTTATATTTTGTGACTGTATTTTTTCAACACTTTGTTGAAAATATTTTCAAGAAAGAAACTGAATTCAACGTAAATTCTCCCTCAAAATATACCTTTATATTTTGTGACTGTATTTTTTCAACACTTTGTTGAAAATATTTTCAAGAAAGAAACTGAATTCAACGTAAATTCTCCCTCAAAATATTATTCGGATACTAAAATCTCCACTTGTTAATTTTCTTTATAAATTGATTGGTTGGCAACGTTTAATAACTGCTAAATTTAAAAGAAATTTTATCGAAAGTTAAAACGTTTGCTGAAACATTTTACCAAATACACGGTTGACGTGAAGTGAATTGCTAGGCCACTGATTTTAAAAATTCTCAGTTTCATAATTTTAAAATGATTTTCCACACACGTAATTTTTATAACCAACCTATGTGATAACAATTTTAACTTTAACCTAATAAAGGACCTAAACAAAAATTCTCTCGCTCTCATTTTAAGGGCAATGAAAGAATAAACAATATATGCTACGCTCTTAATAAAAACAAACGTAAAAGAATATATTGTTGAAAACATAAATTAATTTGTACCTTCATGTAGTATCTTTACAAAATATCTTAATATCTGATTATAGAAATTAAAAAAGTTAAACAGACTTACCTCTTCATTCAGAAAACAGAATAAGATGGCTAGTATAAAACCCTGAAAAATAAAACAAGTCAGTTATTATTAAACATTATTTTAATAGGCCAATAAATTTTTAGTACTTTTTTATTAACACCATTGCTTATTGAATCTAAATCAATAGGAAAAGACAAAAAGTCTATTTCATAAATCTTTTAAAAGCAGGTTTAAAAAGAAAAAAAAAATATAAAAAACTGATAAAAGCTGAAAAAATATAATTGTATCTCCTTATTCAAAAACTTTTTATGCACATATTATTCTTTTCATCGTTCATGAATTGCTCTATTTTTGTCTTCTAAACTTTGAAGTATGAATTCCATATTTCCATACTTGTGTAAAGGTTAACAGAGAAAAACTCAGAAAGGATAGGATGCGTCTTAATTTTGGAAACGACATTCAAATGTCTGAAGAACAAAAATAACAATTTGCAGTCTGGAATTACCTTTCAAATTCTTCTGTCTTAACCATACATGTTACACAAGGTATATTAAAAAAAAAAATAGATCCAATCCTCAAATTGTTTTGTGGATACTTTTTTGGAATTGGTTATTGAACATTTCTATGTAGTTAGTATAGTAAATGTTTTTATACATCGATATCATTGCCAATACTTACTCTGGAGGAGTAATAGAACATGTCTTTATAGTATAAAACATTTCTATATAAAGGTATGAGATAGATATACCTCTATACATCGATATCATTACATCGATATCATTACCAGTCCCTACTCGGAAAGAATTACAGAACATTTCTATATATATAGTCTAGAACACTTTTGTATAGAGGTAGGGGTATCTCTCTGTACATCAATATCATTACTGGTACTTACTTGGAAGGAATTATAGAACATTTCTATGTAGAGGTATGGGATATCTCTTTGTACATCTATATCATTACCAGTGAGGAAAGAGAATACAATGTAACAAACACCAAACAGTGGAATCAGTACCACTATGAACTTGGCCATCTTCCTGCAAAAAAGGTGTATATAAAATGTTACATCTATGATAGGCAATGGAATATTTACCATTAAAACATAATTATATTTACATAAAACACAATGGAACAGTTGCGCAGCTAGAAACATAAATTTAAAGGATTGGAATCGGAACCAGTGCAAATTAAGCTATTTTTCTCAAACAATAAGTACCAAAAATCTCTGGTGAGACTGTAGCTCTACTGGATTTTACTTAGCGAAAGTAGAGAAAGTAGCACTTGTACTTGAAAAGATGGCAACAGCAATAAATAAAATAATGATCCTTGGTTTAGTCTCTTTCTGAATCAGGTTGCAATTGAACAGAAAATGTAGTAGAAGTAATATTTTGAAAGAATTTTACAGAAATTTCTATTTTCAGTAACCATGACAACACTTCAATAAAATCAAAAACCGATATACAGGATTATGAATCGAAATGTAGTCTACCTGTTAGCCAAGTTATATTGAAATCGGATTAAAAACTGTAGGAGGCGTAGCATTTTAAGAGGATATGTATTTTTTGTAACTATGACAACCCCTTTAATTCAAATAAAAAACCCAAACACAGAATTACGTATCTCAGTGTAGTCTACTTTTTTACCAAGTTATACTGTTATTGAATTATAACTGTAGGAGGCGTCGCGTTTTGAAACAAATTTACAGAAATTTATATTTTTAGTAACCATGGCAACACCGTTCATTGAAATAAAAAACCAATATATAGAATTATGTATCTTAGTGTAGTCTACTTGTGTATTGTGTATAAAGAAACAGCACCCTTTTTCTAGCTCTTATACTTTTAAGTTAGATTTAAAATGAACTAAAACTGTAGGAGGTGTAGCGTTTTGAAGAATTTCACAGACATTTCTATTTTTAGCAATCATTGCAACATCCTTCATCGAAATGAAAACCTTGTATAAAGAATTATGTATCTATGTGTAGTCTACTTGTGTACTACATAATATTGAAATCGGATTAGAAATGTAGGGGGAGTAGTGTTTTGAAAATTTTTTACAGCTAGACAGACAGACGGACTGACGACGGACACCTTACTATCGCCTAAGCTCATCTGGTCCCTGACCAGTAGACCTAATAACAGAACAGCCCTAAACTATATTGTTTGAGTGGCCTTTTGAGCTTGATTACTGTTCGATATCTTTCTATTTTATTAGCAATTTTTTTCTTGTTCCGTGTTCGTTACCTTAACCTATTTCGAACATACATACAGGAAACTCTTTTTCCACGAAATAAGACATTATCTATATACTATACATGTAATCTAAATCTATGTTTTTCTATTCATACAGGCTTTAATGAATTGAGTTACCTCACTTTCCTTGCCCCTGACACACGCTTATTTTTCTGAACGCGAATGAAAAGCACTCTCACAATGTCAACGAAAAATATGAAGTTTATCTGAAAATAAGAAAGAAATATGTGTTTATGCCATGATGCAAACAGCCACAAAAATAAATATCTTATATTTATGCTTGTTAATTTATTATGTAAGTCATTTCAGAAATTTTACCGAAATGTTTTTCATTAAATTTCAAAAATTTCATCTTCGAGACAAAAGATTCAGTTGATACACACAATGTTTCGTATTGAATTGAAGTCAATAATTACCAGCAATGGCAAAAATAAGGTGCACAAAGAAAATGTTGATTTACTTAAGACAAACACATTAATTTGAATTAACTTTCCAAGAATATTTTAACTTACGAAGTTTTAGTTTTCATAACTGTGAATATAAACTTGATATACAAAGTACGTACTATGTAGATACCTAAGAGCGGCCCCCTCAGGATCCAAAGATACTCCGGGGAAGGATTCGTATTCCAGCACCTGTTAATATTAAGGTCGTTGTACATGTATGCAACATTGATGCTAATAAAGGGAATGATTATATTAATTTTAATATTTCATTTTGCCTTTCCAAGTGAATATTTTGCTTGAAGTTATTGATAAAAGAGTTGCTCTTTGTTAAACCATTCCATTAAACACGGCGTTTATAAAACAGAAAAATCACAAACTCAGAAAAATATAGCATTTGCTTTATATTTAGAAATTAAAATCTAATCTTGTAAAAAAGAATCCTGTCCTAGAATAAAAATGACTGTGCATTGGTTTCATGTGAATACCATTCTTCATACTGCAGCTGTTGATTGATTGGTCATTTATTTATAATATTATTTCACAAGGAATGAAAATATAAGTTACATGTATATTATGACACCTGTGAAATTAACATTGATAAAGATGAAGATATACTTATTCAAAATCTTTGGACAATTTTCACAATATGTTATAATTCACAAACAGTGTTGTGAATACTTAATCCTATTCTTTTCGTCCCATTGCTTTGATCTTCAATTGTTTTCATAAAATGAGATAAAAATGTCATAAAGTTGTAACCATTTGTGCCGAGACTTACAAAGAATCCTCTAGGGTAGCTCTAACAATCACCCAGGGTATAAGGAATGAAAAAGGACCCACTGGAAGAAAATATTATTCATCTATCATTGATAAAGCACTAACAAAGTAAAAAACAATGCAAGAAAAAGCAAATATCATTATATTGTTGTATTTGTCTGTTTCTTATAATAAATTGAGACTTGCGTAACAAATTTAACAATTTTTTTTTTAGAAGGTGTATGTTCGAGTTTAAAAAAACAACAATATTTTTTTCGAATTCGTTTAAAACCGTATTTTTTAAAAGTAATTTGCCATTTCATCAAACAATTAGAAGCTATAAGTAGAAATATTTCAATTCAATAAATACATAGTGTCATAATCTTATGAATCGATGTCCTTGAAAGTTTCTTTCATTAACTTACGCCATCCAAATACGATGTATAGATGAACTCCATGTTTTTCTGTAAACATGGTCTTATAAACCATCATGTACAAATATAGAGCCTCCATAAATATCCACATGGCACAGGCTGATATGGTGTAAACAAACAGCGTGAAAAGAAGTTTACATTCCCAATGCTACAAAAAATTAATATATATTTGAAAAAAAGTTAATTAGCAGAGCTCATTTTCATAAGTTCTGTTAAAACAATACACAGACCACTGGAAATGCCAGGGGTGTGATCGGCTACCTAGGAGGAGTAAGCATCCCCTGTAGACTGGATCAGGTAAACGGAGACATCTATAGTCAACATTGATATAAAACAATGACCTAACAATTTGTATGAAACATGTCAGTCAAAATGCCATCAAATGATAGGTTTCATTGCAATCATTGTCAAAACAATGACTATAGACCTTACATAAGGCTGACAACACGATTGTGGAAAGCCCTGTAACATCAACTTATGTGTCAGCAACCTGACTCGGCTTATAAACTGATCGCATCAGAGCATACTCTTGCGTATCAAGACAGTTGGAAGACAAAAACACAATGTATACATGTGATCTTGTGATAACACTATATAAAAAAGGGAATTTGAGAATGATTTAGCTGAAGTCATCCCGTTTGTCATATAGTTTAGTCGTTACAATTTATTGTAGTTGGTCATCAACATCTAAATTCAGTAATACATTCAAATATAAAGCAATTGTGACAGACTCGGGTTATTTTATTTAGACACGGCGATACATTGATTTGACATATGAATGAAAATAGCTAAATGTATTTTTTTTTTTTTTGAAAAAGAAAACGTCGTCGATATATCCAAATGCCATAGCAAGAGTTTTTCTTATTATGTAGAAGTTTTTGAATAATTTTTACTTCATTAGAATATAACAACAGGTCAGCTAATAATGAAGCACAATAAGTGTCCATTGGAATTCATACATTTTTTGGAAGGCTGAAGAACCCGACGGACTGATTCAGAATTATAACTCGTGTAATAAGTGGTAGTTTAAAGAACTTGTGAAGACTGACATTTCTAATACATTTTCTAAGACCATTATTTTCATATTGATTTGTCTACGGAATACTACGTTTACCCGATCAAGGCTTAAAGGCTGAAGGCCGATATAACCGTTCGTCAGACGGGGATACTTACTCCTTCATTGCACCTGAACCCACCTCTGAAGTTAACAGGGCTCCGTTCTCATTTTATAATTTTTCAATAGATTTTTGAGCTTAATTGATGTTCGTTATCTTCACATTTAATGCATCATATTTCGTGACAATCCACATTTATCAAAGTATTCCTTTACCCATAAATTTACAGACTCAAAAAGTTTAACTCATCGGGTATATCTATCTTACTATGGATTCACACCCAGCATATGAGAATTAGTAAATTAGAACAACTCCACGAAGTCAAATCATTCCATAGTATATAATAGCAAGTGTCCGTGATAAAACACACTTCATATTGTTGTCAAAGGCAATACAAGGTATACATGTACATAGAATGCCTTCGTTATATAATCATTGTTCATTTCCAATCGGGTTTAAGCCCTGACTCATTGCAGGAGAAAACATTCTTGTTATATTTTTTAAGCTTCATATGAGGTTAAAAATCCTCGTAAAAATATTTGTGATGTTTGGACAATTAAAATTAAGTTATAAGAAAAATACAGTGAAATTTATTTTGTTTTACGGTATCAGCAATGTTTGTATAGTCTACGTAATCTCTTAATTTTTTAAAATTAGATAAACTAACTTATAGATAAAATATTGAAGGTTGCTTAATGTACAAATAAAATCCTTAAAAACAAAAAGTAGAAGTTATATACAACACTGAAGTCATATTACTAAGAAGGAAATAAATCCTTCTTTAGCGAAATTGTTAAATAAGTTTCTTTTTCCTAAACGAAGACTTCCTTTTTAATGTTTAGAATGTTTTCTTTTTTTTCAAACTTATTCCCCTTCTTCAAGACTTCAACAAATCATTATTCTTTCTAATCATGAAAAGACTTGTCTTATCATATTTCTTATGACAAGTATGTATTTCAAATCTTTATACATGTATTAATGATGAAACATATCCTTTCATATCTATACGTATGTAGATCCATCATTTCAAAGACCGGGTTTATAAAGAAGGTGACTCTTGTCTTGTACATACTATTGTAGTCCTATTCTATTGTACATGACTTATTTTAAATTTAAACAAGGTAACTAGAAAGGAATGCATCTATAAGATCTTTCCATTCCTCGTTCCAATAAATATGGTTTAATTTGTAAGATGTAATAAGCACGTAAAAAAATAAGTAAAAACTTAAATGGTTTTGCCTTCTCATTACTATTTCGTTGTCCTTGCGGAAATTACCATTCAGGAAAGGGTTTTATAGGGATGATAATTTTTTTTTAATGTTTTGCATCATAAACTACATTTTGGGAAATCGTTATATCTATTACTAATTATAACGATACCAACATAGAGTGATTAAAAACTGGGTAAAATTCAGTTCAGTATCATTTTTACAAATATATCAAATTACTTACAGTGCCACCTTCCCGGAACCGGAAGACACCATTAACATCCTCTATGTCTTGCTGGAGACCTACTCCCTCCACAAACAAACTCTCCTTCAGAAAAGACATAAACGCTCTCAGAATAAAGGCAATGAACAGATTGATGTGCAGCGTGTTGCTCTTGGAGGACAATTTCCTGTAGAAAAAATACAAATTCTATGAATTTTCCTTTTTTAAAGTTTATAAAACCACTGTTAAATTTTACTTTTCTCTTTTTAACTCTATTGCTAAATAAATTGGGTTTTGAACCCCTCCATTTTTTTTTGTTGGCATAACAATTCTCGCTTGTATTGATGAAAAAATGCTATGTTTATTTGGAAGGTCGGGTGCAGGTAATGTATCAATTTGAAAGTTCTTGATCTTTTTTAAGTCCAATGTAGAAAAAATAAATTTTAAGTTCACCTTTAATGTCTCGTGTAGGTGAACATAACTTAGCATGATTTCTACAATGTTAAACCTCATCCAATCTGAGAGCTAGGAATTACTCAATTATATAATAAATGAGATTGTCAAGTCTTAGAAGAATCAATTATATACACCTCGGGTACAAGGAATGCAGAAGAAGGATGTGAGACTTGTATCATAATTTTATAGGACAAAGATCTAAAACATTTTATTATTTCAAAATATTAATGAAGAAGGATCTTCTGCTACATGACTGCATAACAATCTAGAATAAACAACATTGATGTTATATAATCATAAAATAAATGCCTTACCTGCAGCATAACATGATAAACACGGCCACAACCAGTGAGCAGAGAGACACTCCGTATCCTATGTTGTACATTAGTCTGATACGTGCAAGGTGTTCCTACAAATAATGCATATCAAAATCTGAGAAATAATGTCTTACAACATATTTTTATATACCCAGGTGCTTAAGTTTGACATCATAATTTTAATAATCCTCAGTATAGACGTTTCTTATAGAAGTTTCTATAGACGTTTTTAATGTTGTAATTGTGTTTATGAAAAAAAAAATATCAGTATACGAATTTTTTTTTTAATAAAAATCGTATGTGCATTTAAAAAGAGTTTTCAAAGACGTTTCCAACTGATATCTCCGCTCCGGGATCGGAAGGCTGTGGGCGACAGACCTAATAGGCAGCAACTATTCCTACGCCCTATTCCTACGCCACGCGCTCGGCACTTTGAAGTGAAACTTGGGGGGGGGGGGGGGGGCTTTCGAATGAGACCTTATAACAGAATCCCTGTTTCACAGTACGCGTTGGCACGATAAAGATCCCTTACTGCTTAATGGTTTTGAATGCCAAGTAAAGGTTTAAATTTGAAACCCTCCACGATGTTTGGTGACATCTTTATTTGAGTAACAAATTCTCGAATAGGACCTTAAACAACATTTCTTCAATTAATTAATTAATCCAGATTAAATCTTTGTTGGAAAACATACTAAATTTAAATGGCTCTTTATAACACATATCAGTATCAGCTCTTCAATGCTAGAATAAGGAAATTTTCTGAAGTGGCTTCTTAGTTTTCAAGAGACATTTTGATCTACAACTGGATGTTCTATTGACAAAATAAACCGAAGCATGAGTTGGACAGAAGTATAAACAAATAGACAGATTTTTAAATGACGGATAATCAGTAGATTACAGTATATAAAAAAAATAGAGATAATAAAGATAAATATTCGATAGAAAGAAGAAAATATAAACTTACGAGTAGATCACTTGAATAAATTTGCTGGTTATCCCTGACACATTCCCCAAAATCTGTCCAGCTGATATTCCTCCCTGGGGGGATGTACCAAGTACCATTTTCCAGGCACTGTCGTCTAGCAAAACCTAAAAAAGGAGTGAAATATTGGGACGTTTGCTTTCTTCAATAAACGTTCAAAATAATTAAAAGAACTCTACATAATCTTTAATGATGTAAAGTACTCGTATTAGTATATGATACAAATATAATATCAACATTTTGCAAGAAAAAAAAATCAATGACTTAAAATAAATTTTGAATATGTATTTAAGGTCCTCGTTTTAAATTCAAAGAAGCCCATGTAGACAGTATAGTATTTTAAACATATCGTCTAAATACTAGAAATACCCTCGAGATGCTCTATAGAAAATGACTTTGTCATGTTTCTCAATGAATGTTTTAGGAAAGAAATTTAAATGAAGGGTAGTGATGTTTATATTGCTGTATTACACAAAGTCTGCAGTTAGAGCGTCTGCTCTAGAGTCGCGGAGTAAGGAGTTGATCCTTACGTTGCGGGTTCGAATCCCACTGCGGGAGACGTGGAGACTGGTCCTTCGGATGAGACCGTATAAACCGAGGTCCCGTGTCGCAGTAGGTGCTGCCACGAAAAAAGACCCCTCACTGCTCAATGACCCTGAGTGCCAAGTATAGGTCAAAATTTGTAGCCCTCCACTGGCAAGTGGTGGCGTCTCCATATGAGTAAAAAATTTTCGAGAGGGACGTTTAACAACAAACAAACAAACAAATACAAATTCTGTATAATGCTCTAAATGATGGCCAGCCATATTTTAATGTATAATTCTATAATAGGGTTGAAGTGTTATACGTACCCTCTGTATTGAGAATCTCCAGTACGTAATGTTTTGTACGTACCGTCTGTATTGAGGCCCTCTATATATACTAAGCAATGTTTTATACGTACCGTCTGTATTGAGACCCTCTATATAGGCTGGGCAATGTTTTATACGTACCGTCTGTATTGAGACCCTCTATATAGGCTGGGCAATGTTTCTTGGCAATTGTTCCTGCTCGCGTTGCTTCCCAGCACATAATCTGATCCCAAATAGGCTCACAATACAAATCTAAAGAGAAACGATTTTGCATGCTTTAAGTTAATCGGAACACACAACTCTTTTCCCATATGTACAGAGTATCGATTCTTCTTAGTATTTTGAGAACTGCTTTCATGACTCAACCAATTTAAACCCTTGATGATTGTACGTTTTCTAAGGACACGCTAAACTTTGTGACTCGGAGGGAAAAAGACTATTCATAATTTTCTTTATTTTTTTCTAGGCAGCAAAAAATTAATGGATAGCACAATTTACAGTCAAAAAATCAAAGGATCGGCAAATAGATGTATTTTCTGGTATACTTACAAAAATATGCATACAAGTATTCAGGTTTTAAAAGAGAAACCAAAGATATTTGATACAGTTACTTATTCATAAATTAAACTGTTCGCCGTTTTAAAACAAGTTTGCATAACCTCAGTGCACCGTAATAATTAAGAGATGTCTTTTAAAAATATGTTGTGAACTGGAACGAAAAAAAACAGTTACTCTTATACTCACGGAAATAGTGCTGGTCAAGTACGCACATATGTAAAGAATAAAGCTGAATAGATTTAAATTCCTCTGTCATAGTTGTGTATTACTCACGCGTAGGAATACACGAGGAATAATTCACCAAAGACAAAAAGGATCAGATTTTGCAGAGCGCATCTGGCACTCAAGGATCACAAAGAAAGCACTGTGAGATTTCCCATAGAGAAAGGGGTCAAACGATATCCTCTTACTGTTTAAGTATGACACTCCATTTTTGTTTTCTAATTTGGACTCATTTTTCAACTTTAAGAGTTTATATTATTTTATAACCTTAATTTATAAGGTTAAGGTATATAACTCCTGACATGAGTTACGAGGGGTGATCAAAAAGTTCGCGAACTATCTCTATATTTACAAAACCACATATTTCAGATAAGAAAGAAATATGGCACACAAATAGTCATAAACATGTTCTATAAATAGCAGATGCTACGTAATGTTTTGGTCCATGTTTATAACGTCACAGTGTGAAAATGACGTCAATATGTAGGTGACTTGTGACGAAAAATGGGTGACTCAGTCTTACTCGAGCAAGGTACGGTTGTAAAGATCAATGTAAATCTTGGAAATTCCTTTGCAGTGGCATATCATAATTTGCACAAGGTTTATGAAGACAAAGGACTTGCAAGAAGTTCAATAATTAAGTAGATTGATTGTTTTAGTGATGGAGGGGAGATGGTTAAAAATAATGTTTGTTCTGGTGCCCATTGAAAGTATGCTGGGAAAGAGATGTGTTTTTATTTGAGCAATCTGTTATGAAAGATCGCCAATATACAGTTGGAAAAATAGTTGAATATCTTAATAAATAAATAATTATTAAATCTCTAAAATATCATTTACTTTAGATTTTAAACATATCAGATATCATAAAGAGAACGCGCCTTTACTTGTTTCACATTACAAAAACGACTCATCTTAGACAAAGGAGTTCGGTTGTGATGGTCACCATGCTCATTCTGGTGAAAGATATCCTTATCCACCCATCCTTTTGCTGAGATTTGGTCATTTTTGACATATGGACTATTCTTGTTATAAAAAATAACCGGCATAGTAATAATTGTAAGACTCGTAGAAATCTCTTGGCTGCTGTAAACAGAACGCTACAGAGCATGTCACATTATACCGCTTGGACCACGTGTTTCGCGCATGGGCAGAATGGTGGCGGAGGTGCATAAAAACCGGAAATGACTACTTTGAAAAATAATACATAATGAAACCTAATTGTGTTTCTTTTATTGAAGTGATTCAATTAGTTTGCAAATATTTGATCACCCCTCGTACATAAAGAATGTTTTGAGAACTACATTTTTGAGCATGATTTTCAAAATCGCAGAAAAAGGTCAGTGTGCATTTTACTGAGCAACGATACAATTAACTGGGGTTTTTTGCACTTAACGAGGCCGAGTCTAACTAATTCTACCCTAGCGATTGTGATAAATTTTCTTGAATTAATTTTTACTATTATATTTATTGTTTTAAGATTAAAAAATCGAATGTTTACCGTCTTAATTTCTTGGGGGGGGGGGGGGTCTTAAAAGTTGTCAAATTTTACTATTGGACCCTATGGGAATTTGTTGAAAAAGCGCCAAATTATAACATTTTTTCCATTTTTTTGTTTGTATTTCTGCCCTAGAGATTTCTTTTTCAGCCAAGTACGTGAAAGTTATTGTAAAAAGTCACCAAATTGTGAAATTTCAAAAAAGTTGACCATCTAGGTTGGTCTATGAAGTATTACAAAGTTTATTTTTTCAATGCCCAATATCTCTAAAATTCCCATATATTGCGGTATAAATATATATCGGTGCAGATGAATTATCGGCGCAGATGAATTATTTTGATAAAAATAGCAATGTTTAGATTGCTAATATGTTTCTTTGATGTTCTGTCAACAGGTTTTAGTAAAATATCCATGGACGTCTTGAATATACAAGCGAGTAATGTGTCATTCTTCAGCGTCATGCATTGCTTACAAAATCGGAAAACAGTGGCGTCGTTAGATCCATTTCAGCGTTTCTTCCTAATTATTGTCGTAAAAGCACATTTTCAGACCCATAGGCGTTAGAGATAATGTTAATTTTGTATTGAAATCACAATATTTGGGAAAGGTGTAATGTCGCACGTATGACTGCATGAAATTAAAAAGCTGCGCAAAGTCATGCGCACTCGAATTAGACTCGGCCTCGTTAAATTGAAACTTTTATGTTAATCATTTTGACCTTTTCCATATTAAGCCATGGCAATAGATATAAATTATTTTTATGTAAAGTAGTCTGAATAGTATTTATTATTGAAAAATCCTGCAAACTAATGCGTGAACTTTTTTGCACAAAAAAATCTCATATTTGGGCTATTAAAATTCTAAATAGATAATAAGCTATTTTCTTGTAACAAGCCTTTTTATACAACTTTAGTGCTAATTTGGTGCTGATTGGTTGGAAGTATCGTATACTTTAAAGTAATGAAAGAAAATAAGGGGACCAGTGAAGTAAATGTTTAGTTATTGGTCAAATATGCGAATTTCAGGCAATAAACAGAGTAAATTTTATAATGATTCCTTCATTATATCTCCATTTTTTGGCAAATTCTGTTGAGAAAATGTGAAAAGCTTGTTCTAAGAAAATTAATTGTAACCTATATTAATTTTAGCATATAAATGAAATGACGAGAAAAACAAATTCTCTGAGTATGTAGGGCTTAAATCCAAGATTTTAAGTTTAATAAATGTGTAGATTTTGAATTTTTTCTTCTAAATATCCTTCCACTTCAAGGAATAGTCATGCATATATTTTTTTCTTTAATTTTGTGAGAAGACTGAAAATTAAATAATGTATAATTTGTATTGCTTAATTCAAACACAGTATGTTTTAAAAATTGATTTGTAGTAAGTAGTTCTGAAGTTAAAGGTTCTGGCCAAAGTTTTCTCAAAAGCTGACGAGTTGCATACCTTAAAGTTGTAAAGCAGACAATAAATATTTCTTAAAATACACGATTTGTATCTTGGAAACTATTATCGTCATTTCTATAGAATATTATTTACAAGATTTCTATCATACCAATTACCATTGTAAAGTAGGTCAAATTTCCAATCTGTAAGGAATTCAAAACAAAATGCATAATAATGAATGTTGATGATCATAAAGTCATTTCTTTTTTTAGGTTCAATTATCTGTGCTTAATTATAGTATTGATTATTGTAGTTATCAATATTTTATGTTGATATGACTGACATTTGTGAATGTTTTAGATTATTAATTTAAAAATGATGTAATGAAATACAAAGATACTGAACAGTAATCAAGTTCAAAAGTTCATTAAAACAATACAAAATTGGATCAGAACAAATACGGGCTCTAAAAACATCAGAGGTGGGATCAGAAGCCATGGAGGAGTAAGCATCTCCTGTCTACCAATAACACCTGCCGTGTGCTCCTTATCATATCCGCAGACAATTCAATGAGAAAATAATGATCTAGCAATTTACTGTAATCCAACTTTTATTCGCGTGCGAGAAATTATTGCGAGTTTCGCGACCTACTTTAACTCGCGAATATTAATCGCCGCAAACCATTTATTTTGCTTTGTATTTGTAGAGAATCTTTCCTAAATCGCGAAAATTAATCGTCATTGATTGATTTCAAACTGACGAATCGCGAATAAAAGTTGTCGCAAATAATAGTTGGTTTACAGTATATGAAAAACGTCAGTCAACATCTGACTTAATGTTAGATTATATTTGTTGACAAGGTCATTATATCGATCATAAAATATGTGAAATATCGACTTTAAACGAGAGTGTTGATATCTTTTTTTCATCAACTTATTTGTCCATCGCTTGCATCGCTTCAGAAATTGTTCAGTATGTAGAGTGTGCTCTTGAGTATCGAATCAGACTCTGTGGTATGTATCTTTTATTTCAAACTCAAAGGGATATATTGAATCAACGTAAGAATGAAAATTAATAATTATTGTTACTTACTGTTAAATGAAGCATTATAGCTGTCTATGGCATTTCGGCAAATCAAGCTTGCCCTTTCCAATTTTTCCATTTGTTCATATTTCTTTCTTGAAGTCTATAATAAAGTCAAAAACAATTTACAGTTGTAAAATATTTTCTTCATCCTACGAATTGAAAGTGTTTATATTTTGCGAGGCTTGCAGATCATATATGTACAATTTCAACGAGATGAAAAAAAACCTTAAAAATCTAAAGACAGTTTTAGACGGGTCAGTCCAGAAAATTTTTCAGCAGTTATGAAGTTTATAAAATTAGAAAAGTTAATAATTAGGCCCCGTCTTCCAGTACTGTATCAGTGATGTGATTTTTAACTTAAGAATAAAGTGTAAAGATAACACACAGTAAACAAAAGTACAATAAAACAATACAAATTATGTGCACAGGAAATATGGACTTCTGTAAAAAGAGGTGGGATCATTTACAATGGAGGAGTGAGCATACCCCGTGAGCAACTTGTTATGATCGGTTAAACAGAGAATTCCGCAGACAATTCAAGATGAAAATTATGGCCTAACAATTTGCTTGAAACAATTGGTTTGAAGTACAGCAGACAGCATTGACCGATAGAAAACTTGAGGTCATCACGTTTATCAGTTTATTTCTTAGTTTGCCATTAATGTAAATGTCTGAAATTTTCTCTGATTGATGAATCTATATGCAGTGTAAAAGTTACAGTGAAATGTCTTCTCAAAATTATTTGTTTGTTTTTAATTTTGTATCGTCGACCTTACTAAGAATATCTTTACATCGATAGGCTAGATCTGCATACGTAGTCATGACGTAGTGTTCTTGACATGGAGAAAATTATTCGTAGACAAAATTACAAAATATGAAAACAATAGTATTGTTTATAATGACTCATTCACCGTGATATATTCAGGTCATGTATCAAATAAAATATTTTACAAATATCTAAAAAAAAAATACATTATGAATAAGACAGTTCTATGATTATTAATAAAAGTCGGGAAAGAAATATGCGGGGCTTTATTTATACTTTTTTCCGTCTTTATAAGAATCTCTGCATAATGTTAATTCTCAGCACTTAAGTTGCCTCAACTGAACGACATACAGAAACTATTTACATTTAAAAACGACTTCAGTCCTTCAGTTAATCCTCTTAAATAAGGAGATAAGAAAAAAAAAAACATGTTTGCACGTACGAAAAGTCATTGCTTAAGATGTTTCTTTTTTATATTCTTATCATAGGTTTTTAACAAGCAATTCTACACAACTTACATAGATTGAAAACAGTAATTGAACCCAAAAATAGATTGTATTTGTTAACATTCATCATAACAACATTGACTATAGGTATTTTTTTCCTTTCAAGACAATTAACTGATATGCAGGCCTGGTTTCATTTGAGAGAAAAAACAAATGGTCAGGAGGTTTGGATTTTAGAAAATAACAGAACTAAGAACTTCAGTATTTATGTTAATTGTATTGCACAAGATAATGAAATCTTTATCAAACGACTGTAAATCATTTGACTATAGAAGTGAAAAATTCAGAAATTAGTCTGTCAGGTCGTATCTTTGTATTATATCTGATCTGTTCGTTTCGTTACATGCATAATTGTCGCCCGCATAGCGCAGTGGTTAGAGCTTTCGCTCTAGAGTCGCGGAGTAAGGAGTTGATCCTAACGTCGCGGGTTCGAATCCCTCTGTGGGACGTGGAGACCGGTCCTTTGGATTAGACCGTATAAACCGAGGTCCCGTGTCGCAGTAGGTGCTGGCACAAAAAAGATCCCTCACTGCTCAATGGCCCTAAGTGCCGAGTATAGGTCAAAATTTGCAGCTCTCCACCAGCAAGTGGTGGCGTCTCCATATGAGTGAAAAATTCTCGAGAGGGACATTAAACAATAAACAAACAGACAAAACAGGCATAATTTTGTGCATGTCTTTGTCTGCTAGATATACATGAGAAAAGATGACTTTCAAAAGTGTAAAATAAATGTAAAGTATTTTTGACTTGACAAGGATTTCAAAATATTGGTAAAAGATTGAGTACTCATCGCGATCATGCATAGAGTTTGTCTGCAAGATGACTATTAGTTAAGAAGATTTAATGAGATATTATATTGCATTTTCAATGTATAATCAACTTAGCCCCACCCTTCGGCTTTAACCCTGAACCTTAGGGCCATGAATTTTACACTTTTGGTAGAGGGTTCAGTGCTTACAATACAAATTAATACAACGGTTTGAATGCAAGCGTAAATATGATTTCTGGAGATTGTATCAAGTTTGATGGTTTTGGCCACTCTCTTTATGTCCTAAGAAGGCAAAGATACTGTATTTCACCATTAACCCAAACATGCTTTTCACAAAATTCTTGAAAAATGTTGAAATATGGTTAAGCAGTTCTGAGCAAGAAGCTTAAAATGTTCAAAACGACAGAAGACGCAGGACGACGGTCAAAACAAATAGCAACAGATAGCAAGAGAGACTCAGTTGACCTTAGAACCACACATTTCCAGTGCGTAGTGATTATTGTATATCAAAAAAAGATAGAAATAAGAAGAAGTTTCACAACATAATGCAGCGCTTTAAGCATGCCAATGAAAAAAATGAAGATAACGAACACTATTTCTATATGTAGCTTGTAACACGAGATTTGATTGGTTTGTAAGCCGCGGGTATACATAGATTTCCGTACACCCAACTTGAGCCTGTTGTGAATAACGTGACGTCACCATAAATGGTTCTCTATCACAAAAAAAACCCAAATAACATGACGTCACGACAGTTTTAAACATTATTATTTATACTTTGGTTTACAAAGAATTAATTTGGTTACATATTGAATAAATTCGTTATCCAGGTTCAATCAAGGGTTTGAAATGCATTCAAAACCTTTACTGAAATCATTGTTTCAATAGTGAACGTTATTTCAACAGTGGCTGCAACATGTGAAATGCACTTTCAACCACTATTGAAATAATTATTTAAAAAGTGGACGTTATTTCAAGTGGTTGCAACAGACGCCACTACTTGCCTGTGCAGAGCTGCAAATTTTGACCTATGCTCGACACTCAGGGCCATTGAGTAGTGAGGGATCTTTTTCGTACCAGCACCTACTGCGACACTGGACCTCGGCTTATACGGTCTCATCCGAAGGACCGGTCTCCACGTCCCACAGAGGGATTCGAATCCGCGACGTAAGGGCATCAACTCCTTACTCCGCGACTCTAGAGCAGACGCTCTACCACTGCGCCACGCAGGCGACTCTTGATCCCCATGTATTGAACACGTAGACTAAACTTTAATAAATTCAATCATTCTTAATGACAAATCTTTGTCAATACAGACGTTCTTAGTGAGATAATGATATCATGACACTTTTGTCATGTAACCATCGACAAATATCTAATGAACATGTTACCACTACGCTATAAATCACATTAAAAATAGTCGATATCAAACAGATTTCAAACCCTCTAGCATGACTATCAACTGGTAATTACTTAATTGACATTGATTCAATTTTACGATTTGATCTCTAGTATTAAGGGCACAGTGCGCTTGAGGAAAAATTATGATTTTTGATCCATTTGAAATTCTCTTGTGTTTCTTTGCAATTTAAGTAATTTGATCTCAGAAATAAACATGACAAAAGGAAAAAAGATCAAACTCTTATTTAAAGCCAAACTACCATATTTTACACATGGTTCAAAAAGTACAGTAGTTAATATAAAGTTAGTAAATTTCAGTGATCACTGTGATACAGTTTGTTGCTGATAAATTACAAAAGTATTTTGAGAACTTCACACGTCGTTTTGTCTGATCTTCATATGGAATTATTGAAATTATTTTGCAGACAAAAGTTCAAAAAATAATATTTCATAATAGGAATTATTAGACAGAAAGAGACAGTGCATTAATTCTAAGCACACATGCATCATCTTGATAATTGCTCAGTTTACTTCGAACAAAAAAATATGTAAGCATCTTCGCTGTGAAACTGCAGCAAACACAAACTTTTTGTTTAGCTCTCTGATGACTAACAAAAGCTTAGATTTGTTTTTTAATTTTTTGTGTAGGCTTCGATCTACAAAATAGAAAAAAATATATTTCTCTTTACATCACAATAAAAAAAATTCACACGTTTTACACGTACCTATATGTATATTTAAAAAGCAATATGGAAGTATTTTACAAAAGTCCCTTCATGTACAGAACATTCACAAGAATGTGCTTTAAAAAAAAACCTTGAGTAACATACTACTTTAGAATGCGATGTCGCTGTAACTTTCGTTGGTTCCAAAATTTGCAGGATATCGCTTAAGTTTCGAGTAAGTAACATGTAATGCTGAATATATTTCAAAAATACATTGTTTGTTATAATCGTAAATAGCATAATAAAGTACACCGCCTAGGTGTATGATACGCCCGTCAATCATAAACGTATTAGCGTGCAAGGTAGAAAATAGTGTCTTTCTGGGAACAAAATTTCAATGATTTTTGCATACCAAATGTTTGATGTGCATCTCCTATGGTGTAATTTTAATTAAAACAAACAAGTAATAGCTTTTCAAAAAAGCTTGCCTGACTGACTTAATCAATATCTATGGAACGTGTAAGCAAGAAAAGTGCTAAACGTTCTCGTCATCAAGGAGCGACATAGTTGCGATACTTCATTACACAAGATGTACAATTGATTTTCTCAAATGTCATAACTTAATATTACAGATTAGACATGCCACTGTTTGGTCATTTATTAGTGAGCCCATGGGCTGACTAGTTACGTCGGGATGAAACTGCAAGTGCACTTGCGTAGATTGTAATTCTGGGGGAAAAAAGACGAATCGTTCTAAAGAAATTCATATTACTCTCTTACCAGAAGGAGCGCTTCTTCATGCACACTCTCTGGTCAATGACAGATTGATGAGACGGTCTCTATTTATAGACTGATCTGTTCCCCGTCATTCTCAACGACAGAGTAAATTGTGAACAGTTTTAACTAAGAAAGTTGTCTTGAGACAAAAATGCTTCAATGCTGCTCTAGGACGCAAAGTAAATGGCATGTATATTTTATAGCTAGAGCAAAACA